CACCACCACCACCACCACCACCACCACACACACACACACACACACACACCACCACACACACACACACACAACACACATACACACACACACACACAAGGCCGTGCTTACCTGTGCAGTGGGTGTCCTGTGTCGATGTGTGTAAGCACAATCACATCTCCGTGTTGCAAGTATCGTACGTTTGCATCACCATCATCATCGCCATCGTCATCGCCGTTGTCGTCATACTCATTGTCGAACGTGAGCGTGCTGTTGAGGATGGTGACACGCCACAGGTTGTTCCGATCGTTTGCATGCGGATAGCACGTCACCTGCAGCCCATGGCGACGTGAGTAAGAGGACGTTGCCCGAGCACACAACTTGCAATCACAAACCAGACAGACAGACAGGCAGACAGGGAGACAAAGAGAAGGACAGACAGACAGACAGACACACACGCACACGCACACACGCACACACACACACACACTGCACTGCAGTCCCACCTGCTGCATCTGGCTCGAGACGAGGTCGCTGCCCTCCTTCGGGTATGGCGGGTAGCGAAACGCATGCGAGTGCAACCAGCACGATGGCGTGTTGTGCGCGTGCCTGTCAGAGCGTTGTGGAGCATAGCAGTAGTCAAAGCAACGTAAGGTGTCACGTCAGCTACAGCTACATTGCACCAGTTCGCGAGTAAGCAAGCCCTAGTATGCAGCGTGCAAAGGTGTTCTCCTGTGCGCACACGTATGTGTGTGTATGTGTGTGTATGTGTGTGTGTGTGTGCGCGTTCAATTGTGTGCAAAGTGCGTGTTCTCAATGCGCGGACCTGAGACTGATGATGGATTCGTGTGCCACATCGCGGGGAACAGAGACAACGAGCGGCTGTCGGTCTCCAGCGAGCGTCGACCGGAACTCGCTGCTCATAAACCCGGCGCCTGCACACGCAACACCAGTGGTGACGACGATGATAGTGACGACGATGGTGATGGTGATGGTGACGACAATAGTGATTCTGCGCACTGGCGCTTGCACACCACTCGCAGACAGACGGACAAACAGACAGACAGCTGTTTCGTACAACGCAAATGGGAGAGAAGGTAGGGCATGACGCCAGCAAGAGTGTTGTCGTGTGTGGCTGTGCGGGTGAACAAACGTCGCCTCACCTGGTCCCGTGTTGGGCAGGAGGAAGAAGTGGAGCCAGTAGCATCCAAGGAAGATTGCGATAGGGAGTGCAATCAGCACCACCACGCGTGCGAGCACGTGGTAGGCCATGGTTGACAGTGGTTCACGCGCGCCCCAGAGATCCCACAGGTCGCGTGCAGTGATGCAACCGACGGTGGCGAATGTGAAGAGGCCAACGAGCTTGACACTGCACACGGCGCCAAGACTCGCGCCCAGCAACAGCAGCCAGCACCACCACCGCCGCGAAAACGGAGCAGTCCTGACACGTGCCGGGGTGTGTGTGTGTGTGTGTGTGTGTGTGTGTGTGTGTGTGTGTGTGTGTGTGTGTGTGTGACAAATGAGGCCAAGGGTGCGTGAGCAGTGAGTGAGATGTGGGCAAGCACTCACAGCAGCACGTAACAGCACGCGTCCACACAGACACACAGACACACACAGACACAGACAGACACACTCACACAGACACAAACAGACAGCCACTGACCGTGTTGTGTTGCGGACGTGAATGGCGCACAGAAGAGAAAATGCGCAGAAGAAGACGAGCTGGGCGTCCAAGACGATGATGCGCGAGACAATCAGCGCTGCAGCGTCAACGGATACGAGCACGCCCGCCAGAACCGCAGCCCGCTCACCGCAGCCAAGCGCACGCACAATCTGCAGCGAGGGCCACACAGGCGGTGCGGTGTTGTGTGCCGAGGGCCAGAGATCGAGTTTACACAAGGTTCACAGATCAACAGACACATACAGGCAAACGAGGACAGAGACAGGGATAGAGACAGGCACGCATGCGTAGACAATCTACCTGATGGATGGTGGCAACGGTCGCTGTGCCAAAGACGACAGACAGCATGCGCAACGCAACAAAGGGAACTGATGCCGGGTATTCTGTCATGATCACAAAGACACAAAGATACACGTGCACGCAAGCACAACACCAACAACAGCACATGCACGCACATGCGCACACGTGGGTTGGTGAGCACGGGTGGAGAAGGTGGTGGTGGTATCAACTTGGGAAAGCAACCAGCTCAGGGCCTGACCTGCGCCGATGGTGTCAAAGTGGAAGGTGCCGTCGAACCCAGACAGCTTGGCTGCTCACGATGAGATGTTGGGATGTGGCACAATTAGTAAGTCCAGGGGCATGATACGAAAAAAGCACAATCCAAGACAGCAGCATGGAGCCCTTCACACATCTCTCAAAGGCGCAAGCGAGGCCGCAAGCGAGGCCGCAAGCGAGGCCGCAAGCGAGGCCAGAGCAATCAAGACGGGCAGCAGCTCGCAGAGCACGACGGCCTTGACTCACCGACAAACGCAAGCAGCAGCTTTGCCAAGGGTGGGTGGACGTCCAAGAAGTACGTGCCCTGTGTCAAGCAGGGGCATGTGCATGAGTCACACAGCGGGAGCTTGCTTGTGTGCGAGGGCGCAGATGCGCACACTCATGTTTGCAGGCGTGTATGTACGCACGCCTTGTGGTACCTGGATGTAGTTTGCTGTGAATCCGCCAAAGTGCGTCTCGTCCCACCTGTCACGCAGCCGCAACCAAGTAGGCGTTCATGTGTGCATGCGAGGGAGGGAGGGTGAATCAATGCCAGAGGTGACATCAGAGCACAGCAGATACCAAGGGCTTCACGCAGTGCCATTGGAGCGAGCAGCGCGTCCACTCACACGACCGAGGATGGGTGGGAGATGAATGCGAGGCGCAGCAGGAGGGCGATCCCAGTGACCAGCAGCAGACCGCTCCAGCCGTGCGGCTGCTGCTTCACCGCTGCTACAGTGTCAGCAGCATCCTTACCCTCCTCCTCCTCCACTTGCCGTCTTTGCCGTCTGTGCTCTTCCTCCTTCTCCACCTGCTCCTCACCGCCAGGCTCGCCTTCGCCTTTCCTCCGCCTCAACCCTCCCTTCCTGCCGTCCATCATCACTGCCGTGAGCTCTTTCTTCCATCCGTTTCTCCGCGTCAGCCAGCGCACACAAAACCTGCCTACACGTTTTGCTGCTGTTCGTTTGGTCTGCTGCGGCATTGGCGATGATGATGAGGAGGAGGACGAGGATGTGGAGAGGACATCATGGCGGCAGACAGGGCCGCCAGCGTGCGGGTGCCGCCGCATGCGCCTCGGTCTGTGTGGTGGCGACGACGGTTGTGGTGTTGGCGTGCTGTATCGTGGAGCTGGCGCCGGTCGAGGCGATTCCGTGCGAGGCGCTGTTCCCGTCCATGTATTGTTGTGTGACACCGGAACAAAACCCAGTCACCTTCCAGCCTGTGGGCTGTCGGCGGAACAACACTGTCTTGGTAGACTGCTTTGCACGGCAAGGGGTCGAGTGCGACGGAATCATGGGCACTTCATCACCCACTCCCTCCAACAACTCCGTTGTCTGCGATGACCGCTGGTACTCAAGAGACGACGTCGCCTTTCAACAGGTGTGTTTGGTGTGTTTGGTGTGTTTGGTGTGTTTGGTGTGTGCATGTGTGTGTGTGTGTGCGCGCGCGCATGTACATGTGTGTGTGTGTGTGTGGAAGCGAGTGTAGATATGCGTGTGCTCTCCATCGGACTCTTGTTCGCTCTTACCAGTGTTCTGCTCAACCTTCTCTCCTTAAAATGATGCCGTCCTCACTCCACCATGACCCCAACCTCCTCCTCTTCCTCCCTGACTCTGGCAACCTCCGCGATCACGTAGACTCGGGAGTGCTTCTTTGTGGACGAGGACAACATCTATGACCTGGACACGGCGCTTGCACTATCCATATTCTTTGGCATGTTTGGGCTGGATCGCTTCTATCTGGGATACCCTGCTCTGGGCTTGGCCAAGATGCTTACGCTGGGCGGCTTCTTCGTCGGTCAGGTGGGTCCTTTGTGTGTGTGTGTGTGTGTGTGTGTGTGTGTGTGTGTGTGTGTGTGTGTGTGTGTGTGTGTGTGTGTGTGTGTGTGCGTGTGTGTGTGTGTGTGTGTGTGCGTGTGTGTGTGTGTGTGTGTGTGTGTGTGTGTGTGTGTGTGTGTGTGCGTGTGTATCAATGCGCACACCGCTGCAACTGCATGCCGCTGCAATTGCGCGTCGCTACAGCCACGGCGACGATGACCGTGGCTACCCACCCTCCTTGTTGCACTTTCCATATGTCACCCACATGCTGGCTTCTGTCTTGTCTTGTCTTGTGTTGTCTTTAATTAACTCGAGTTTGAGAGGCGGGACGAGCGGCGCGAACAACAATGTTACAACCATCGCGCGCGTCCCCCCCCCCCCTCCCTGGTTCTCACCCACCATTATGTCCCCGCACAGTACAAGAACATGAAGATGAAAACAACAACAGCAGAACGACCAAACGCAAGGAAGCAAAGCTGGTTGGATGAACGAATGAACCTCAATAAACACACAGAGGGCACGTATGCTTGTAACAGGAGAGCGAAGGACGCTGAACGCGACATACCGTCACAATTCTCATATGAGCACACGACAGTCAAGATCTCTTTCGTGTGCAACTTCCATCAAAGACGCACACACACACAGACACACACACACAGACACACACGCGCACAGACACACACACACACACGGATACACAGATGCACAGACACACACGGATACACAGATGCACAGACACACACGCACACACAGATACAGACACAAACGGTTAGTTGTCGAGGAAGCCATCCTGGAGGCTGAGGAGGTTCCGCTTGCGGCGGTGCTTGGACCTGCGGTTGACGGCAAAAGCCACAATGGCAATGACCATGGCAAGCAGCACAAGACCCACGGCAATGCCGATGATGGCCTTGTCATCGAGCGGAACAGAGCCGCTGCTGCTGTTGTTCTGGCCATTGCCGTTGGCGTCGCCGGCAAGGTCGCTGCTCGCAGTGGTCGAGCTCGCGGCACTGCCATCACCAGTACGGCGGCACGTCTTCTTGCCATCGTCGCCAGACTGCAGAAGGTCGAAACCTTCGGGGCAGTCGAGGAGACACTCTCCTTGGTGCAAGATGAAGGTGTTGCTGGAGCACAGCACACACAGCTGGCTCTCGTCTGTGCCACTTGGCGGCAAGAGGCACTTGGCACAGCCAAACGCACACCCGCACGCCTCGTTCGTGTCAATGTTCAGGCCGCCCACACAGGTGGTCCAAGTGTCAGAACCATCGCCCGGTGCGTCGTCATCACCACCGCCTTGCATGACCTCGTCGTCGTCCGTGCTCACTGGCGCGTCGTCGTCGACCTCACCACCATCGTTGTCGTCGTTGTTGTTCAGCTCGTCCTCCGGCACAACTTCCGCGGCGTCGGGGCGGCGGCCGTTGTTGAAGAGGTTCCAGAAGTGGGTGTTGAGGGCGTTGACGTACTGGTCCGTGTATGCAAACGAATGCGCAATGATGTCTGAGACCTGCAGGGGTCCGCCGAGGCGAAGCTCGGGGAAGGTGCTGCTGCCGTCGTGCGGGATCTCGCGCAGCGCACGCGTGCTGTTGACGTAGATGCCGACAACCTTGGTGGGTGCGTTGAAGGCGACGGCGATGAAGGTGATGCCGCCCGTGACGCGGATGTTTGTGGTGGTGCGCGTGGCGCCCTCCAGGCCCGGGATGCACGTGTCGGCGAAGAGGAGCCCGTCCTCGTTGGCGCCGAGGCGGAAGAGGCCCGGGCAGGAGGTGCCGAGCTGGATCTGGGGCGGCTGGCCTGGCTCGCCCGCCTGGAAACGGGCGATGGCATACACGCTGAGCGGGGCCAGCTCCACGTCCCATGCTTGCATGTCGTCGTAGCTGTTGTAGTTCATGATGGGCACAATGTCAAGCGGGTCGGTGCCTGCGGGAATGTTTCCGAGGACGGAAGGGTCAGCCAGGGAGAGGTTGCTGGCAACGGGCATGCCCGTTTCCTCTGCAATGTCGGCTGTGCTGAGGTAGCCACCGCTTGGGGTTGCGTGCAGTCGCAGCGCCAGGTTCTCCGGCAGCGGGATGGATGGCCAGTCGTTGTTTTGCACGATGGCGTGCGTGGAGACGATGGCGAAGCCAGCAAGCAGCACAGCGATGAGAGGCAACACCATCGTTGCTCTTGATGTGGCTGTCTTGGTGCTCATGTCGGCAAGAAGAGAGTGTATGTGTGTGTGTATGTGAGCGTGTGTGTGTGGTCGTTGCTGGCTTGCTCTTGGTTGCTTGCTTGTTCTTGCTCTTGCTCTTGGTTGCTTGGTGTGCACACCCTCAGACTCGTGTCAGGGTGGAGCAAGGTTGCAAGGACGGAGGAGATACACGGAAGTGTGTAAAGGACGGTACGGGGGAAGGCAAAGGAAATGGTCAACCAATCACACACATAAACAAACCAAAGGCAGCTGGCTGTTGCTGCTGCTATCCCTCACGACATTGCTGCCAGTTCAAACACGTATGTGTGTGTGAGAGGGGTTGCGTGTGTGTTGGTGTGCGCGGGATGCATTCAAGCAAGCACGGGTTTGGTGGTCGCATGGCAGTGGGTCCTGTCACTGGGCAAATCCCATTCGTGCCTGCAGGCTTCGCATTCCCTACGTTTATTTGCGCATCGAATCATAACCAAACAAAGGAAATTCTGCCACCCATTTCGATGTCATTTCACTTGCGCTTCTTGTTTTCCTTCTGCTTCTGCGCCTGGTGCTGGTGTCGGTTCTGCTGCTGCTGCGTCTGCTGCTGCTTCTGGGGCTGCTTCTGGGGCTGCTTCTGTTGTTTGTCTTGGCCATTCGCGCGACGCTGTCGCGGTTGCTGGCCCTGTGCCGCTTCCTTTCCTTGCTCGTCTTGCTCTGCTTCGTCGTCGCCTCCTTCGCTGTTGTCGTCATCATCGTTTGCGGTGGGAGGGGGCTGGAGGAACAGGCCATCTCCGCGGTAGTCGTACGGCAGCTGCAGGTCCACTTCCTCCACAGCGGCAATCGGGAACCACCCTCGATGCAAGGGGTACACTGTGCGGATCATTCCATTCTCAACCCGCACCTGCCAGCCCATGCATGTGCAATTGAGTGTGTGTGTGTGTGTGATATGGTGAGTGAGTGAGTGAGACAGTGAGTGAGTGAGTGAGACAGTGAGTGAGTGAGTGAGTGAGTGAGTGAGTGAGTGAGTGAGTGAGTGAGTGAGTGAGTGAGTGAGTGAGTGAGTGAGTGAGTGAGTGAGTGAGTGAGTGAGTGAGTGAATGAGTGTAAATTGGGATGGGGAGAAAGGCACGCACTCAAGCGCTCTGGCAAGCGCACAGACAGACAGCCCGCCAGATGGACACGCACAGATACAGACACAGACACACACACACACACAGATGCACATACCTTTTCGCCGCAATACCACTTGCCACGCTGTCGCCAAGCGTGCATCAAATCACCAGGCTGCATGCAGCAACAACCAACAGGCATGAGCAACGTACCATCACTTGCAT